CCAATCGAGAATTTGTGGAAAGAACTGAAAACTGCTGTTCACAAATGCTCTCCATCCAACCTCACTGAGCTCGAGCTGTTTTGCAAGGAGGCATGGGCAAAAATTTCAGTCTCTCGATGTGCAAAACTGATAGAGACATACCCCAAGCGACTTACAGCTGTAATCGCAGCAAAAGGTGGCGCTACAAAGTATTAACTTGAGGGGGCTGAATAATTTTGCACGCCCAATTTTTCAGTTTTTTATTTGTTAAAAAAGTTTGAAATATCCAATAAATTTCGTTCCACTTCATGATTGTGTCCCACTTGTTGTTGATTCTTCACAAAAAATTACAGTTTTATATCTTTATGTTTGAAGCCTGAAATGTGGCAAAAGGTCGCAAAGTTCAAGGGGGCCGAATACTTTCGCAAGGCACTGTATATACTTATAATATCAGTACTTTGCATATTGCTTTGTAACTGTATGCAAAGTACTTGGTTTTGATGCTCATCAGAATCAATTAGCCTAACTTTCTGTTAAGCTTCATAGGCAGTTCAGTGGGCATTCATTCATTCATTCATTCATTCATTTTCTACCGCTTAGTCCCTGAACGGGGTCACGGGTGGGGCCGGAGCCAATCCCGGCCGGCAATCGGGCGAAGGCGGGGTACACCCTGGACAGGTCGCCAATCCATCGCAGGGCTAACACATAGACGAACAACCACACATACACGCACGCACTCCTATGGGCAATTTAGAGACACCAATCAACCTAAGCTGCATGTCTTTGGTCAGTGGGAGGAAGCCGGAGCACCCGGAGAGAACATGCAAACTCCACACAGAAAGGTCCCAGGTGGGGCCCGAACCTGGAACCTTCTCGCTGTGAGGCAACGGCGCTAACCACTGTGCCACCGTCCTGCCCGTTCAGTGGGCAAAGGACAGAAATCAGCTGTATGACAGTAAACTAGAGTAAGAGCCAAAATTTTGTGCCCTTCTTTTTTTATTGAATTTAATCTTTTTTTTTTAATCAAAAATCATTCTGAATTGAACTGTGACACCAAGAATCGGAATCAAATCCCACCCCTAATGTTAGCCAGGAAATACACATGAAAAATCAGTGACTCTTATAAAGGAATTAAAGACAGCTACAGTTGAAGTCAGAGGTTTACATACATTTAGGCTGAAGTCATTAAAACTAATTTTTTTAACCACTTCACCAATGTCATGTTAACAAACTCTTGTTTTGGCAACTCTTAGGTTACATGTAGCCTGTTAGGCTTTTCAATCCGGCCTGCTGAA